GTGTGTGTGTGTGTGTGTGTGTGTGTGTGTGTGTGTGTTTTGTGTTTGCGTGTCTGTTTCCTCCAATTAGGACAGACATTTAAATTTGATGCGAGTACAGAACACATATTTGTCATTTTATTTTTTATGCTCAGACGTGAATACTTAACCCCTAACATAACTTTCTAGTGCTTGGGCTGCAAAGCTTTTATTGTGCTCTTCCTGAGGAAATGCGTGTTTCCCACTTGAAAGATTAAAAGCTTGTCATATATTTACACATCTTCGGCCAAGTCGCCCATACATTCACGTGTAAACCATACACACTGGCACCTGAGAAGAAAACCTCATGCGGAACCCCATTCCTTTCAGGACGTGGACCTTGTGCGGGACGCCGGAGTACCTCGCCCCTGAGATCATCCAGAGCAAAGGGCACAACAAGGCGGTCGACTGGTGGGCGCTGGGTGAGTCACGGGCGGCGGCGCAGAAGGGGATGTGACGCCCTAACGCTCACTGGCGGAAACCGGACACTGCGCCTCGTGTTGTTGTGTCTGGGGTTAAAGAGTCAAGTTGTATATGTAGATATTTTTTTTCTGGGGTAGCTTGTTGCGCTTGTTATGTTGTTGAGAACTCGGGGGTGGGTGGGCGCCGTGATTGTGCAGTGTTGTTTTGGATGTTCTTTAGCTTAGATTTTCGTGTAATTGTTCATTTGATTTCTTATCTCATTCCTGAAGACATCTTGAAGGAAAAGCTACACACGGGCTGCATTCATTATAGAAAATGGTAGCTCAAAATCCTTTCCGCCTTTGAATGCCCAATAACGCACCCCTCCCTTTCCTCCTCAGGGATCCTCATCTACGAGATGCTAGCTGGCTACCCGCCCTTCTTTGACGACAATCCCTTCGGCATCTACGAGAAGATCCTGGGCGGGCGGGTGGAGTGGCCGAGGCACCTGGAGGCCACCGCCAAGGACCTCGTCAAGAAGCTGCTCACTCAGGATCGCACAAAGCGCTTGGGGAATATGAAGGTACGGCGAGCGAGGATTTCTGATCGACCGAGGCCTTTATTTTGGGGGGAACTGTGGTTTTGAGAGATTCATGGCCGCGAGCAGTTATTGGAAGAACTTGTAATCGTTTTAAACATGATTCATTGAAGAAGAAGGTAGTCGCTCCTACGGCGAGAAAACTGGCACAAAACTTAATCATATATGAATATTTATCATTATATGATAATGATGTACCTACGCGGCATTAGCTATCCAGTGTGCTCTTGGTGGGTAAAGAACGCTGCCTTTAGGGGCACCATCAATAAATTACAGCATTATTATTTGTTTTATTGTTGTTATTAGCTATTAGTGTATTTGTTGTTTTTATACTATTACTGCTGTTTTTAATGTGTATTGTTTATTATTGTTATACAGTTTCAGTCATTATTGTTATTACAATTATTATTATAATTATTATTACTATTATTATTATTATTATTATTATTATTATTATTATTATTATTATTGTTTTGTTATCATTATCATCATTATCATCATTATTTTAATGATTCTTCTCATAACTCCGTGTATGAAATATAGGAAGAAATTGTTGATATCTTTGGTTTTCAATAATTGACTAGACACAATATAGATGGCTAACATAAAATGACGAAATTGTAAATATTACTGTTAGATTTCTGGTAAGGAACTTGAATAAGAAAACAGTATATGAATATTCATTCATAGTTTTCTAGCATGAAGCATAATATCAATTGTGTTTTATGTTATGATTTAGATTATAAGGCCACATTTCATAATTTTGGTTGTGTAATTATTTTACATTAGAGAATGCAATAAAGAGCATGAACTGTAAAATTGACTGATACAAACTAGAACATTTTCCTTGTGCTGTCATTTTATAACATTGTGGATTGCATAGATATTGAAAAGTATAGACCTGGTAATTGTATAATGCTTATTGTAGTCCTTTTACAGTGTAGATCTTGCAGTTATAGTACAATATAGTGTTCTAGATATTGGTAAAACATTATACTGTGAATTTTGCCATATGTTTTATAATGCAGAGTACAGTACACAGTTATGGCATGTGGAGTGTGCTGTAATTTTACTTGAACTGAATTATTATGTACCTGACTTTTCTTTTCCGTTTTTGTATTCAGAATGGTGCTGAAGATGTAAAGAGACATCGATTTTTCAAGAACACAGACTGGGATGAAGTTTACCACAAGAAGTTAAAGGTATTGTTTGTTTTGTACACTTTTAGTTTGTGAATAAATATCATGAGAAAAATATATATATATATATTTGTGTGTGTGTGTGTGTGTGTGTGTGTGTGTGTGTGTGTGTGTGTGTGTGTGTGTGTGTGTGTGTGTGTGTGTGTATACATTTTACCTGATGGAGGAACTTTGCAATGCACATATTGTAATGTCTCCTATTTCCCCCTTCCCCCAGCCCCCCATAGTGCCGAAGGTGAGCTACGAGGGTGACACGCGCAACTTTGATGATTACCCCGAGAACAACTGGCGGTCAACACAGGGAGTGTCTGACATCGAGTTGGCGATATTCAGTGACTTCTGAGTGTTACTAGGGATGTGTGTGTAGTCTGTGATCAAGGGAGACTCATGTAATTATAATCCGAGTTACGAATGTTGTTAAACGGGTCATGTACAACGAATATTTATTGGTAATTAAACGTAATTTTACTTTGTATATTATGTATGCATTATGATATGAGATTTAGATCTTGAGGAAAAGAAACATGAAAAGAAATTTATATGTTTAGAAAGATGATAACTACAAAAAAAAAATTACAGAGAATAGTTTTATATTTTGTGACACATAACAAGGTTGTCTTGTGGATATTTTTTTCTCAGCTTTATCACAGTAGATTTTGATGTCATGTCATATCAACACGACCTGAGGAAACCTCACAAGGCATGAAGCAAACCAGCATAGCATTTGGTGGATCATATTCGTTAGGCTTTGTCTGCAATTTTTTTGCCTCTGTCACTTTTTTTCATCTTGATATATTTATTCAACTGTTTTTATTTTTTTTAATGTGAATAACTTTTTTTTTTTTTTAGATAAGGAGATTTTAAACCATGAGAGTTTTCCTTTTTATTTTCTACTTTTATCCTGAATATCTCAAAGTCATATTACTGTCAACATGATCTTAGATATTTTTTTTCTTCTCAGATAAGTACATTTGTCTCATTTGATAGATACAGATGTTACACATTCACAACTCACTGCTGTTCAAGATTCACCATAGGAAGTAATGGTTAGCTCTCCTACATGGCTTGTCCTAAGTGGAGTGTCAGGACTTGAGTTGAAAATGAGTTTAAGGCAAGCATAGGCAAACCATTAGGATGTTCTCCCAAACAGTCTCAATTCCCTGGCATATAGTTGGCTTACACAAAGGTTATGGAATTGTAACTCATATGATATTTTTTGCTACTGATGTACCTCTGATGTGATCTTGATGAAAATTATTTTGTGCATGTACTTCTGCCTTGCATAAGTACTAATGTCAGGCCCTTGTTGATGCAATGAACAATTGAATTATATTTTGTTTTGTTTTTCAGTGCAATATTTATTTTCTTTTTACTGTGAAATCATCATAAGGTTTAAGGAAGAAAGCATTTATGTTGTAGCTAGTGCAAAAAGCTTCCATTACTAGTATTTTCAGTAAAACTTTGCCTGCTCATTCAGTTATAAGTTTCTTCCATTCATTTATTGTTTAAAGATTTTTTTTTTGCTTATTCTGACTGTATTTTTTTCAAGAAGTTCAGGTTTATGAGTCCCCCTCCCCCCACAGATCAGCTAATGACATCCACACTTTCATAGATATCCAAAAGACTTTGCAGATTAGCACACAGCCAATAAGAAGCTGTTTCTTTTCTGTTCAGTATGATAAACCAACTCAGGCTCATGGAAGATCAATTTGGACTTGAATTTGCATGGCTGAATATATGTTGTTTCAAGTATGTACAATGGCAAGATGTCAGAGTGCTTCCAGATGTTAAATTTGTGATGCAGAAAAAAGTACAATAATAGAGAACTCTTTGTGCCTCATATATCCTGGAATGTAACTAGTTTCTGCTAATTACAGTGTGATTACAATGCAAGCTTTCGCTCTATTAATGTCCAATTTCCTTTGTCCACATTTAACCAAGATCTAAAAATTTCAATCTTTCCTAAAAAATAAACGATTCTCCACAGCCTTATGTGTTGTGTGTGTGTGCAGGTTTTCTCCCCATGTACACACACTCTAAAAAGAGTATGCACATAACTCTCAGGGTGACACTTGATGTATACACGATTATGGCATGTCATACCTGATGTGTAGCTTTGGTCACACCCTTAATAGGTCCTGATTGCAAAACTTATCTAGAGCATGTAAACATCTTTTTCACAGTGTGCACATGTAAAGTATATGATACATATGCATGCAGTGCTTATTACAGACCCATTACCATAGTGCACCAACACAGATGCCATCACTCTTGTGTCCAGAATATGGTCACAAGAGATCATCCAGAGAGATTATCCATTTTATCCAGATTACCCAACTGACCTCAAGAGTGGATTACATAATATAGATTACACAGACATCCACTGTCATGCATTCACCCCTGTATATTATCAGTCTCATAATCTCATTTGTCATGAATAATATTTCCTTTTTCCATTTGTGCAACAGACTGTTGACTCAGGGACAGGCAAAGAAGGGAAGTGAGGTGTTACAATACATCAAGATGTGTCAGCAGTATATTTTTATTTCATGCTCCCTAAACATTTTGAATTGCAAAACCTTTCAAAGGTAGATTGATTAACTGCTACTAGGAATCATGAATGGCATGACACAGGATGTTTCCAGTGCTGTAGTTTGCATTTTCTTGTTCATATTCTTAATGTCCATTCTTCCTCCTTAGTACTAATTTATTTGCCAAAAAGATTGAAAAGGGATAGGCAAGCATTTTTGTAAAGGTAAACATGCCATTGTTTTTGCGGTTTCCTTAGTTATTTTATTGATCCTCCATTACCTGAAACTCCAGTTTAGTGTTTGAAAATTGTGAGTCACATATTCAAACAGAAAGACATTTCATTGCAGCAAAATTGTATTCTGTAAATATATTGCATTTGACTTATGCTTCCTTCTTTGTTAATCCTTCCACAAGCATTTATAGTTATTAGCATCTATGTAACCTTTTTTTAGAGCAAGAAAGGACCAAAGCAGAGGTGTACCAAGCAGAGAGGTGCTTTTATCTAATTGAATATATCTCTTTGGAGGATATGAATACTAAAATATAATGGGGAAATATATGTGATGCTTTGCAGGTATATAATATCCTATTATGTAAATAAAGGATATGATACCAAAAATTATTATTATTATTACAAATGGACTCATTGATACATGTAACATTTCCTCTTACCAGCATTTTTTGGGTCACTTACTTGCTTAGGTGCTAAAACTGTCTATCCACTACTCAGTCTTTAATCTTGTCTTATTGTTTTGGGTGTATTCTCACTAAATGTATGTTCCTAAAATATAACCATTTATTATTATTATTATTATTATTTCATAACTACAACGTAAATGTGGAATGAAGTGTGTACTGCCTTCATGAGATTTTGATTAGCATTGCTAATGAGGAGTGTCAAACTATGGAGATGGTTTTGGGATTTCTACTTTTAAGTGATATTTTGTGAAAGGTATTGAAGTTAGTGAATACATTTGATTTAAATACAATGATGTATAGGGCTATGGGATGGCTTTGTAACAACATTCTAGTTTATGGCATTTTTACGAGTCTGTCTCTACATCTTCTTTAGTCTTTAGTAGATAATGTCTGTTGGAGTTTGCCCTTGGATATGTTACTCTAATAATAGGATATTTTACATCTTATATTACCTGTTGATCTGGTTCAAAGTGTGTCTCTAACTGAGGTTATTGATGACTTTGAGTGTAATGGATGTATTATCACATGTTGGTAGTTACTTGAAGTACTTGAAAGCTCTTTCCTTTCAATATCCTGTAATATCTATATATAACATGCATATTTCATCAGTACTTACATATTTTAACTAAATTTTATATTATTACTCCCACTCTTGGTGTCATCTTTGCAATTCACATCCTCTCAAAAGTTTTCACAGTCTGCAGATTTAATCTTACTTGGCTCAGTCACAGTGAGATTTTCTGGTCTCCACCCTTCACAGCCTGGACATAACATACTTTGCTCTTGTGATGCAATATATGCAAAGTTGTATTATCACCCACAGAACTATTCCAGTCAGGTATGTCACACATTTACCTATGCATTACTGTAAATCTTTCTCTTTGTAGAAATGTAGGAAAAGTGATATGGCAAGTAATATTATTTTGGTTAACATCATTTCAGCAGAAAATACTGGTTCAGCTGTGGTAGATATCAATAAAAGCTGAAAAAGTGTACTTCTGGTAGTTTGCAAATAGAATAATGATCAGAAAAAATGTCCATCCTATATTCTGACTACTTATTTAATTTTGTTTCCAGTAAACCCTGAATATTTGATGTTCAGTGGATGTCATAATTGGTTTTCTATTTGTGATGGATATACATAATACTTAGTAAGTCTAACATTCAACAAACACACTAGTAATGCTAGAACTTGCCTTAGGTTGCTCAAACACTAGTATTTTTGGTAATGTTAATTACTAGATTGTTTCTACTAATTAAACCCTGAATTTAGTTCTTCTGTCTTTTTCATGAATCACAGCAGATACTAATATACTTAGTGTGAATCAACACATGAAATATCTTACATTTCAGACTGACATTTCATACCAAATATACCAAAACATTATTCAGTTCAAATGATCTAGAAACATTTGTAATCACTCTTCTGTTATAAGAATAATTAAGGTATTTCAAATAAGTGTCAATGGATTTTAAAGCAGTTTTCAAATATTAAACAAAGAACTGGAAACACAAATCTTTTGGAGATTGAGATAGAGGCCAAACAGGAAGACTAACAGACAAAACCATCAGAATTCACCAGTCTACCCCTATATGTCATTGTCATCCCTGGAGTCTATGCGACCCCACATCTTGATTTCTCCCTCTGAATAATATAGGCATTTGAAATTTCTTAAAAGAAGTGATAATTTTTTTATACGTCTTATCTCTCTCTACATTACTCTTAATATAAATTTCTTTGGTTTGTTTCCACCATGTATTTATGCAGTAGCTTTTTTCCTATGGCTTACAGGACTCAATACACTCTTGCCTAGGGGGTCAACACTGTTTTAATAATGTATTAGAGAAGAACATCTCTACTAAAGAAAGTAATGCCAGATGGCCAAAAAATTCATTTTAATCAAATTCAAGATTTTGGGGAGCAATGGGCCTTTAGACAAACATAATTCCTCCCATTACCTGGACAAAATGCAATTGAATTATTGCATTATTCGACTATATAATTAATTCTGTTTATCTGTTAGGGTAGATATGATAGCTTTGTAATCATGTAACTTTTATTTCTGGTGATGATGAGGCAAAAATACAAAACCGCAATCAAAATTGACTGCAGAGATGTTAATCCATACTTTGTGCATAGACAGAGGAAGCATTTTTTCTATGAAGCAGAATCCCCTAAGATATTATTTCTGTTTATGATAAGTTTATCAAGTGTTCTAAACTTTATTTTAGTTTTGGTTGGTTTGATCTATTGTAATATGTTGAATATTAAAATAGACAATGTGCACCTCCTATAACTGTGATATCATGTCATGGACCCTTGGGCTCAGGCACACAATGGGGATAAGTGATTACATAATTTTTTTTTTCTATTACTATCTTTAGCCCGGATGAGTAACAGTGGAGAATGTAGATACTTTTCCTGCACTGTATCATGTACCTACAGATTTTTTAAAGCTTCACGTCTCATGACTTGCATATTTTTGAGATGTACATTATTTATTGTTGTTCCTCAAAGCATAATCAGATGTCATACACATTTTTTTGTTTTTATTTATTCATTTTTTTTCATATGTTCATCCGTAGATTTATTTTAAGATATATTCTGGAACACTGATAATAGGTTGGTATAAGAAAAAAAACTCTGCTTCCTAACATACAACTAATATTTATGGAAGAATGCCATTGTCTTGTTTGACTTTTATGCTCTGTCTTACGACTTTCTCTAGCACGCAGTCTCTTGGATGACATCTAATTTTACATCACAGGGAAAGAATATTTTAAAAACTTTCTTGAAGATTTAGTTGGAACATCTTTACATATTTTGTAGGCTTTTGATGTCATTGAAAGAGTTAAGACATTAAGACAATAAAGGAACTTGTGCAGACCTCCCTGTCCTATGTCATGTGAACTTCTTAAAAGAAACTAATGTTCTAGCAAGTTGTACTTAAAGTTTATTGTATCATAATTGCATATTTTCAGGAAATACTCTTTAAACCATTGGGGGTATAATACCTAATTTAGATATTTATAGTTGTAGAATTTGGAAATGGGACAAAACAATTTACCCTTTTCAACAGATAGAACATTTAGAAATACATCTATAAATACTTTAAATACAGTGTAATTTATAATTATTAGGAGTAAGTGACTCCATTCTGAGTCTGAAACTCATCCTGCAAAATGTAATATCAAATGGCCACTTAATTTAAAAACAGGTTATGTACTAAAATACTTATGCATTAGGAATACTGCAGCTAAGGCCTTCTCATTCTACAAACAACAGCTTTAGTGCAGAGTAAAAGGCCTAACAGACTAATACTTTTTTTGTCAATTTTTGCAAATTTAAGACCTTCCAGACAAAGGCAGTAGCAACAGCTTCCTTCCAACTGACTTCCATCTTGACCTTTTACTTCAGAGGGTCTATGTTGCTACAATGTTCTTTACTTGATTATATCTCTTTAAAATAATGGGTTATGTATAAGAATGCTCATTGGATTCTCAGAACCATACTTGGATGGCACCATGTTTGTTTTACATGGCAGTATGTATGCTACCAAGGTAGCAACGGTACTCTACCTTTATGGTAGGATAAAACCATTTGCATGTATTAAATTCATACAGAAATGCAAAATTTGATAGAAAAAGTGCTGGTGTGATAGGGGCCTTCAGGGAGAGGAAATACTTCATTCTCAACTCTCATGACTTTTGTGATGCCTACTTACAATTTATTAAGGAAACTTTTCAAAATGAGCCGGTGAATAAGTGTGGAACTTTGTATGTAAAACATATTAATTTGTATCATACATTTTGGGGGAGCTGTAACAGTTTGTCATTACAGTGCTTTGCTGAACATATTTCTAGAACATAGATTATCACAGCAATTGTAACACCCAAAGATAGTGTTTGTTCACAAGACTCTTGTCCAGCAATAGAGATGACAATAACAAGTGTAAATGATAGCTAACTGCAAAGCAGTTATGTAAAGACCAACTCCTTAACTTTCTCTTGTGACTTTCTGTATTTCAAACAATTGTAGGTCTGTAACAAAATTTAGATATGGTGAAGATGATGATTTATTAAATCTTGGATTATAATACTTAAGTCATTGCTGTGCATTTGAAAAACTGTTATGTTTTGTTTCATATAGTGTATATAAAAGTTAAGTTTTAGATTTGCTACTTTACACATTTTTTGTAATTAAAATTGCTATAGTTTGTGTTTTGTAAATATGAAATAGTGGCAGGATATATTAGTTTTGTATTTGCTTACAACATAATGCTACAAAATAATAATAATAATAATAATAATAATAATAATAATAATAATAATAATAATAATAATAATAATAATAATAATAATAATAATAATAATAATAATAATAATAATAATAATAATAATAATAATAATAATAATAATAATAATAATAATAATAATAATAATAATAATAATAATAATAATAATAATAATAATAATAATAATAATAATAATAATAATAATAATAATAATAATAATAATAATAATAATAATAATAATAATAATAATAATAATA